TTTTTTTTTTTCCTATTCACAAACTAGAATCTAATAGAATGTAATATTTGCCACACAAAAGTCCAGTGTGGCATGAAGGTTATTGAGAAACTTTGTATTTCAAATTTCAGTACAGACTGATTTATATCTCACAGACTAAGATGGACATTGGAATGTGGTTATTCATTACCTTTTTTACTACCTTGAATGCTCTTATGTTCAAACATTATATAAGGAATTCTGATTTTGATTCAAAATATGTTTAAGAATTGCTCTTTTAGGGAAAAATATAGTCAGAAAAATGCAATTTGACAGTAAATGTATTGTTAAATATATATTTAAAGAAAAACTAGTATAGATTTTTTAAAAACAAATTTGAATGAACTAAAGAAGAAACAGAATAGAGAGGTATTATGGATGAACATAACAATGACATAGAATTCAAATAAATTAATGGGAACATATTTCTAGTTGTGCTTGATCTTGGCCTAATGTAGTTTCTTTTACAATGTAAAAGAAATGACACATAGAAAAGGAAAGAAGGGGTGACAGTGGAATGGATGGGATGGGAGTAGAATAAAATCTGTATTAGAACAATTTTCTTAAAATTCCACATCTTTTATAATAACTAAGATGAAAACAGAGTTCCAGCTGGAGGAAAAAAAACTTAGCCCAACTTTTCTTCTTCCCCTTTTTAGTGCACACTGTTAAAAAGTCTGAGTGAACTCACAATTAAGAAGAGCTTAGCAGCTGAATTCTCAATAGAGGCAAGAGAACAATTGACTATCCTGCCAAAGGCTGTGCACAGATGTATCCTGGCATTTAGAACAGCCTGGTGATACTATAAAAGCATGCAAGAATTCAAAGTTCATGCAGCTGGACTTCAAACATTGCATTACAAAATTAGGTGGCATCTATTCTAAGCACAAAGGCCCAGCAATATCACTAATCTCTCTGTTCAAGTTGCCAATATTTTATGAAACTCTCAACAGTTTCATTAAAAACACTTTCTTCATCCTGGTCCTTTTAAAACCAAAAGCATAAAACACTTGATAGCCAAATTACAATTACTTGAGAGAAACAATCCAAATTTCCAAAAAAAATTGATAGCTCCAGCAATGAAATAAAGATTTCGAACAACCCAAAGGCCGGATTGTTAATATTTCTCATAATTAGCTCCACCTGGCTTGTGAATCTCCTTCCAACAGCAATGCTACTTTGGAAGCACAGCAGGATAAATCATCCAATCAAATGAGATGATCACTCCCAGCTGTCTCTTATTCAGGATTTCCTCAAGCAGTGACAGTTACTATGTTCTGGATCTACCTGCTTCAGTGCTTTTTCTTTTCTTTGGAAGGGATAGAAATGATTTCCCCCACCCCAATAGAGAGTTTTGATGACATTACCAGTGACATTGTTGAATTAATTTACTTTTGATGCCCAGAATATTCTAGGCATAGGTTTGCATTTTGGTTTTTTAAAGAGATGAGAAATTGAAGCAAATCTCCATTTGGTTCCATGAGGTGAATGGAATGCCATTGCAGTCCTCTAAGGAACCCAGTGCTCAATTTTATGCTTCGATAGAGAGTGTTTAAAGTTGCAAAAGAAATTTAAAAGCACAGATAAGTGAAGTTACAGTCACTGCATTGGGCCAATATATACTTTGTGAGCTGCAGTTGATCAATTCTATTTTTAATCATGCATATCTTTTACCAGTAGAAACATGTGAAGTATACTGTATACATTAACACATGTGCAATTTCCACTCAGTCCCTAAAAGAAAAGTTGGTTGCTACTATTAGCAAAGCTATTTTTTTTTAAGAAAAGAAATCTTCCAAATAAGAGCTAAAACAAACTACTAAACCTGTAACTTCTGTAGTTTGAAGAACTAGCCATTCTTGTGTTAAATTCAAAGTACTGCAATGTCTCAGAACTCATCTGGTTTATAAATCCATATTATTCAATAGAGAGACATTAAAGTACTAACTTCCAGATGGCTTAATAAGCTGTTGAAAGTGTAAATTAAACCTAATTGGCCTGTGATCAAATATATAAGAGATGTCAGTTATTCATGTTTGAATATGTTCAAATAATTTTGAGTACTTTTTAAATCTATCTTTCCACTTTACAAAGGTACCAGACAAATATGTCCAGTTTCTCCCTTAATTTTTTAATATTTGTTTAGCTTTAGCCTTTACTCTTAGCTTTTTCTTTTAGGCAAGTTTATAAATCATTCATTTTTTGACAATTAATTAGAATATAGTTTGGCATTACATGCTGATGATATTTTATTGTTTATTTCTCAACCTCATACTTTAATTCTCATTATGAATTATTTGACTGATGCCTTTGGGTGAATTGCAGGATACTCTGTAACTGGTCTGGTCAGAATTTCTGCCAATAGACAAATAGTAATTTATTCATATGCTCTATTTATTTTCATATATGTATTTAATTTTTAACCTATTTAGGAATTCTTACATAAATTATATCTATATACTACTAAAACTCTCATTCCTGTAACTTTCAACTGAGTGAAACGGTGCATCATAGGGCAACAATTTTTGAACCAAGGTATCTCAGATGGCTAATTTACAGAAAGTGTCCAAAATCCAGGACCCATTATTCCCATGGGATTGACATTTGGAAAAATTTGTGGCTGCTTCAGCACTACAGTGCTGGTCACATGATCATAATGGGCATATCCCCAACCTCTTTCCAGCCACATCTGCATCCAATCAGCTGGCAGCAAGGCCCAATGGGTGATTCAACCAAGGCTCAAATTTGAGATCTCTTAATGGTGGTGGGCATTGAGGGAAGGATGAGGGGTGATTTGGATGCCTGCTGGCAAAGTAGGGCTGGCTGGAGGATGCTGGTGGTCAATGGGTGAGCCCGCTTTCTCCCTTGAGGGAGGGGGCCCTTGGGGACCTGCTGGAATGGGGAATGTGGGAATGCAGTTTTCCTCATGGTCCATGGCTCCCTTTGTTCCATGTCCCCCCCAGCAAAGTGGAGGCAGTTCTGCAGGTGAGCTGAGGAGGAGGAGAAGACTTAACTGGGGCTCTCCTGAGGCTTGTGAGGGGAGGGCAAATGGCAAAACCCTATTTTATATGAAGGAAGGAAGGAAGGAAGGAAGGAAGGAAGGAAGGAAGGAAGGAAGGAAGATTTCTGAAGTTTCCTGGCAGCTTCCCAAAAGCAAAGGCATTGGGGAAGCTGGCAGAAAGTCACAAGTAGCTCACACTCCCATTGCTTTTTTGCCCTTGGTCATTCTGTTTCTCTGTTTAGGTAAGGAAATATCTCTGATACAATGACCAACAGGTCATGGGTTGTCTAATTCCTTCATTAAAATTAATAAGATGTAAAAAGAGGTTTCCTTGGAAATTAATAGATAGGAGACTCTACCCTCATCCTTTGGGTTTTTTTTAAACATCTCAGAATAAATGCAATTCTCAGGATACTTCATATTTAACATAGAATTCCTATAAATTTATAGGAATTCTAT